CTGTGAGGGTGACAGAGCACTGGAACAGGCTGCCCAGAGAGGGTTTGAAGTCTCTTTCTCTGGAGACTTTCAAGACCTGTCTGGACATGCTCCTGTGTGATCTGCCCTAGGTGTTCCTGATGCAGCAGAGAGGTTGGACTTGATGATTTCAGAGGTCCTTTCCAACCCTTATGATTCTATGATTCACTCTCCTAAAATATTTTTGTGGGGAAATCTGAGGGCATCCATATCCTACAGTATTTTAGTCACATCTGATGCACCCCATTACTTAGCTGAATCTCCAGTGATCTGTATGAGTTTTTGTTCACCTTTTATACTCTTTCTTAGAGGTCTGTGTTCTGTCTTCCTCTCTCATGTCCTTTTTTTTCCACTGATGAGCATAAGGGCCAGATCAAACAAGAACTTATAGATACCTCCAGTCATGGATTCTAAATCTAAATCTAAGGTAAGAATCCTTATCCAGGGACTACATAGTGTTGAAGGTGTTATACAGTTAAATTCAAATTGAGATTTCTTAATTTTCTCAGCTTATAAGAGCTGGATTGCTTCCTTTCACAGAACTATAACAGTCTTGGGAGTGTTGCGCATTTTGGTGCCTCCTTTACACCAGTGCACAACCAAGAGTAAAAAATTAGTCATACATTCCTTAAAACCACAGTGGTATAATACAGGTATCCCTATGAAGAATAGGTACACTTTGGAATCTATGAAGTGGGCATATCTTAATGCCTCTTTCTTAATCATCCTAAACAAAATGTTTATGACAGATCAAATGAATGGCACCCTACAAAATAAAATTTCCCTGTATTTGCCCTGAAGAGAACATGAAGTTTATATATAAATCTCTAAAAAATAGGAATATGAAGTCAGGTATTTGAATTTCTTAAGCTTGGAAGGACAACATCAACTAAGGATTCTGAGAAAAACACTTTTATTATACTCTGGCATACTAATATTTTGGTTTTTTAAGTGTGTTGTATAGCATACTTTGCACCTTTTTTGTCTCTTGCATAATAGACTTGACATTAGGATGCTTTCTTGACTTTAATTATATCATGAGCCATAAGCATGCTAGATTGTTCCCACCTTGCTTCATCTCCTCTATCTTGTCTAGTAGGGAGTAAATACTAATGTGTGTATATATATATGTATATGAATGTAAACATATTGCATCTTTTTTATTTTATTTATTTTATTTATTTATTTTGAGCTTGTCTTACAAGCTTACAGATTACCTTGTAAGAAAGTAGGCACCTGGCTCATCTTGGCCAACACACTATCTTCTTCTTGTCCACACTGTCTTTCATTATACTGTCTGTGTCCCACAGTCTTTATTAATTCTGGAACTGAGGAGAATATGAATGACTATTCCCTTAGCTTAGCTATTTTCAATCTTAAAGTGGTAGAAAGGTGAGTATACTCTTTGGAGATATTGATTATACCTGGAGACTTATTCATACTCTTTTTACACCTGCGATTTTCTGTATGCCTGAGCTCCTAGGAGTGCAGATTCAGAACATGCTCAGCCTTGCCCAATGTGTCAGTAGCTGTAGGTGCTGCTGCCACCAAAGTAATGAGTGTTACCAATAGTGGGCTTATAAAATGTAGTACTTGTGCTTCCTTCTTCAGGTACTGCTTTATCTATGTATTTTACTGATCCTGTTGCAAACAGGTACAGAAATCTTGAATTTTATTTACTTTAAGAATAGCGTCAAAATAGGAGAGTCAATTTCCTGGTAGGGAAAAATAGTCTACTGTCAGTGGAGAGCACAGTGACTAATTTGATGGGTTCTATAAAGTGATTGGGAATGATGGGGAAGGAGGAAGGAGAAAGGGGTAGGAAGAGGGCAAAGGAAAAGAGCTTTTTATATATCTGTATTTATTGATATCCTGTTTAAAAGGTCAGTGAGAGGCATTAGGAAAGTGTCGTGGTCACCCCCATCCATTCTGTTTGTCTCATTTAATCTTTGATCCAGCTGCTCCAAACATCTGGCACAGTGAACTCTGACTCTGAGCTCTGTCTGATTCAGAAGTCCTCGGGGATGTGTGTGAGAGCCGCTTTGCATCCAGCTTGGCTCCATCCACACTGTGTGACCTGCTTATGGGGGGACCACCTCCCTCCTCTACTGTGGGCCACCCACCACCTTGCCAGCCACCTGGGTGTCTCTGTTGCCAATGAAAAGTGGTTGCTCTCTGACTCTATCATCACATGCACAGCCCCTGGGGAGGTAGAGAATTGCTGTGACAAACCAAAAAACCCATGGCACCTCCCACCTCCCCAGATCCCTCCAAAGCTGTTTCCTTCATGGGCTTCTGCACAGTGATACTACTTTGCCTTTCATCTCACCTTTCCCTTCTACAAACACATCTCTCCCCACCTTCTTCCAGTCTGTGCTTTGTCTACAAACAGCCTCATTTTGTCTCCAGCCTCCTAACTCTCTAGCAATTTCAAAGCCCATGATTAATGGGAAAGACAGCTTCTGAGGAGAGTATGGATGTGGGGAGGAAGAGGAAGGATGGTCCTTACCCATCACCCCACCAGGACAGTGGCAGGAATGGGGAAGCCCCTGGTCACTAGCAGGCTCCCCCCTTTCACGTAGCCTTGTCCCCACCCCTTCAGGGCTCAGCACAGAGGCCCTTGGAGCTAAGCAGGGGGAATGAAGAGTTAGAGCTACACTCACACACACTCAGAGTTCCCTCGGCTTTAAGGACCGGCCTCTGCCTGGGCTTCAGCAACTGGAGGAGCCAGGAGAGCTGGAGAAGGATGTGAAGCAGGTGCCAGCTGATGGGCTTCCAGCCAGTCCCAGGCTGGGGCTGAAGGAGGATGTGAAGGAGAAAGAACCCGGGCCCCACAACTGGTAAGGATAAATAGGATCCCTGTCTTTCACCGTCTGGAAAAAAAGGAGCAGCCAAGGTGGCAATCTCATGAAGAGAGACAGCAGGAAGGGCATCACAGGGAATTGGGAGTATGGCTGGACTGTTCCTCTTCCTCTGTTCCCCAACAACTTTAGCTAAGTCATCTTCTCAGATGGGCAGGTGTGCATGAGGGATGTGGCAATGCAGTCACCCTGGGGGAGCCACATCAATTGGCAGCCAGGATTTGGGTCATTCAGTTGCTCTTTTTGTTTTTTGTTTGCTGTTTTTTTGTCTGTTTTGTTTTGTGGTGGTTTTTTTTTAAGGCTTTTTGTTATTTATTTGTTTGTGTTTTGTTGTGGGTTTTTTTTTCCTTTGTTTTTAAAAGGTACTATTTTAAGCACAATTCCAAAGAGGGGGGAAGCAACAGGGAGTGCCAAGCTGTGGAGCAGTGGCAGAGAATAGCTGTTGATTCTCGAAAATGGATGCACAAGCTAATCCTACCCTGCAAATACATCCTGGTAAATGGGCAGACCCAGGAGCCTTTTAAATGCCAGATCAGCTCTTACTTAAATGGCATTTTGCTTTATTATTTATTTATTTTATTTCACTTAAATTATTTATTTACTAAGAATAGCTTTGAATAAAGAGGCGATCTCTGTCTGTCGTTGTGTTGCGATGGTTCCTTGTTGTTGCTGCTGCAGCAGGAGTGAGGAGAGGTGTTGAATTTGTCAGGGCTCAGGCTACCTGGAACCCTTCCCACCTGCACACACGTATCCGTGCCCCCACGCAGCCCCTGTTCAGAGCTGTGGTGCCCAGCCCTGTGCCGGGGGTCCCTGCCCACCCCGGGCGGAGAAGCGGGACAGCTGAGTGTGAATGAGAGATGGGTGTGTAGGGCTGAGCCGTGAGGGGGAGGAGGACAGAGGGAGGGGGGAAGCTTTGGCAGGATGCAGGGATGCCGAAGGAAAAGGTAAAACCTCAGGTGGCTTCGGGAAGAGTTAACTGAGAAAAGATGTATGAGTAGGGAGCAAGTGGTTAGCAAGGGAGAGAGGTGCGGTGGGTTTTGCGAAAGGGTGGGGAAGGAATAATGCCGGAGGGTACCGAGCTTGAGGGCAGAAGGTGGGCAAGCCGGCAGCTGCCTGTGGGGCTGCAGGAACGGCCCAGGAATGCTGG